ATCGATTAATTAGCCAGTTTTTGAGATAATGTATACATAGGTGTAAAACACCATAGGTGCGTTTTAGTAAAATTCTAGATTATAATCTAGAAAAATCGTTATTTGGAACTTGCTTAAGTATTGTATTTATTATACATATTTTAATAAAACATACTATATACACCGATATCGCATAATACATATAATCTAAAACTTGTGATCACCTGCCACCCACGATAATTCGGGATAAATTCTTGGTGGTTCATTTGAAGTTAGTTGTAAATCGGGCCTAAGCCCGTCCCGTTAATTATGATCTAGCTCGGTATTGGCCCAAATTGATTACGGACCTAAAAATCTGGGCCAAAGCCCCGGTAATTTGCGGGTCGGTTTTAGCCGGCCCATTATGGACCAGGTGATAATTTTGTATTATTGCTTAGTGCCGGCCTAGCTCCGGGCCTATTCCGACTCTAAATGTTGGTCGATCAGCTGAATTTGGTTGTTTCACTGATTTATCCCAATAGCTCATGCCCGCATTTTTATGAAAATGATACAATTACGAATTTAAGAAAAAAAATATAAAATATGTTCCGAATTGCGCGAAATAATACGATCTTTTTACTGCATTATTTATGATCGACATTGTATATTTATGTTACAAGACTTAGACTGATCCCACTTGGAAAGACAAACCTTGCAAAGCCTAACTGTTAAAGAGTAATAGTAATGTCTTTAATTTAATGATATGAATTTTATAATTTTTAATAATTCTAAATTACATTAATATTAATCATACTAGTAACCCTCATAACGAATTAATAACCATAGTTGCGAGATCACAGGCTATCCTACGGAAAGCACTGCGAAGACTTTTGTTATTGATAATTTAGTCTCCACACCATTTACCGATGTATAATGTAGTTTCTTTATTTCCAGCAACAATTATAATATCATTGCCCTGTGTACACACATCCGTTATGTGAGAAGTTACAAAAATTGCTCGTACTAAACGACAAGAGATATCGTTCCAGAGTAGTGTTATGTCACCGATAGTTTTGAATGAAATATTATCAAGTTCAGAAATAGAGTCTGTAGATAATGTTAGTATAATTATATAAACTTATTAACAATAACATAGTGTAGACAGATTGGTTCAATTTACCATTTTCACATTCCTTCTTATTGCCACGAGTTCCAGTTAATGTAAGCGATGATAGAAAATCACTTTGAAAATTTAAACCTCGCATATCATCTTGATCCACTGCCACAATATAAATTGTACTGTGACTTCCATCCATAGCATCAAATGGCATATTCGCCCAGGTAGCCATTAATATATCACCACAATGTTGAGCCAAAATTTGTGTATCTTGTTCCCTTATATTAACATTACATTTGTCAGAAGGATTTTCAATCATTACAACGGACAATCCCTTTCGTCCGACTAAGACACTCCCCCATTCAACATTTCCAGTGTCATTGATGTTGATACTTTTTTTCATCAATTTCACACCGGTCGAATCGGGAATTGGGAAGTCTTTTAATGGAAAACACGACAATACAGTACGATATTTTGTTTCGGGAAGTGTATCATCTAATGATGCCCTACGTGATTTATTGGAAATTGGCAACATGATTGTTTTGATGCATGCAGATATGATGAATAACGTGGGAAGTGTTGTATAAAGAAGAATCGTATCTGTCGATATCACCTGTAGATCTATACAAAAAATTTTTACTATTGTATAATGTACATTAGAAAATAAAATTCAATAAATATACCATATATTGCAGCATCATCGATATTATTTTCCCATACAACGTTATTTAATGGTATAAGGCATAAATGTCCGCATTCGCCCAAACATCCAAGTCTTGGAGCTTGCACTCGCATTTGTGTAGTGTTCATCATTTTCTTGTCACCTTTTTCTGTGCTACCATTACCAATATCATCATCCTCATTTTCTTCCACTTCAACATCAAAAATTTTACTTTTAATCAAAATTTCTTCACGATTATAGCACGTACAAAGTTTGACAGCTAATAATTTTTTAATTGAAATCACGCAGAGACATTCTTCATTTAATTTTGATTTGAAAGCAGTAGAGCTAAAAAAAATAAAATTTTGCGTAACGCAAAGGCTTGTTACTGGAAACGAATTGGGAAGAGAGATTGTACTGTGCCACTCAAAGCGAAGAGAGCTGTCCCAATGCTATGTAACGTAAAGATCTTTACATATCACGTGAATTTGGAATCAAAAAAACACGGTTTAATATTAGGTAACGTACTTTTTTCAAGTTCCATAAAATTATTTCATTCGATTCACATAACATTACAACTCTTTGACCATAACCTGTAATGTATCTTGGACACGATGAAACAGAAGCGGTTAACCTATATATACGATTCTTATAAGTAAAAGTCTAAACGGTATAAAGCACGAATAAAACAAAAGAAAAAAACTTGCTTGTTTTTTAAAGAACTCTTAAAATCCTTTACCAATCTTTCTTCACCAACTTGCAAAACAATTGGTATCAATCCAAAAGCCGATCCACCATTAGAATTATCCAAATTCGGTAAAAATTCGTATGCACGAACTTCAAAACTTCCTGCACGCTCTTTTAGATGGATGTGGAAAGTTATTACTAAAGAAGTTGTTGGTTCATTTGAATTATGAGGAACGTCTAGGAGCAGAAGAAATGTTGGATCATCGTCTATACGTAAAGGGGAACCGGTTGATGCCTTTGGAATAGTATGTTCGTTAATCAAAAAAAAAAAAGGTAAAAATGTTTAGATAGACTTGGGAATAAACAATTACCTTGGATGGATGAATTTCAATAGTTCCATCTATATATATGAAAGCCGTTAATGACTGTGATGACGATTGAAGAAAGCGATGGATTAGTTTTGTTGGTAGCGTGTATGATCTAATCGTCATGTTTGAATGCTGAAACGAAAATTCATACCTTTAAGATTCGATAACTTGACAATTTGTCCAATCAAATTACGGTCAGGGAATATACTAAAATGATATGGGATCTGCAGTAACATTTGACGTGTGGCATAATATTTGACGCGCGTAATATTTGACTTGTGCCGTAATGATTACCGTAACTGATATTTGCCGTAAATTTTTGAAATTGTAAATAGAAACAGAATTAAGTGGATTCGGAATTCTAGTACGTATTTTAGGATAACGTTTGCCATATGTAAATTTAATTAGATTCCGTTTCTACTTACAACAGGGCGTAACATCCAACATACGCTGTAATATTGCTTTTTGCTGTAACTATCGCTATGCTAATATTTCAATGCTACGTCTAAATTATAATTCATAGCTTTGGATTTAACAAATTATTAAATGCATTATTAATTAATAAACACTATATGCCCACCGCTATATTTATACAAAGATAAATTCCACAAGCTTGAGTGCTTATTGTAAATGCATTCAATGAATGAAATAGAGTTAAAAAGGTCTTTATACGATAAGTGTTTTCGAATTTTAAATTATATGGACTTCAATTAAATGATTATCCACTAAAAAAATTTTTTTTTATGTTAGTAATAGTCTTTGATCGAACAATAATGATTGTTGTGAAAAAATTCTTTATTGACCATTTCTGCATTTAGTATTAGTGGTGGCGTCGATCACGTGATGATCGACAAATAATTCTAAGCTGTGATTCGCTATTGCTTTCATGCCCTAAAAATCAAATCGGTGGATATGAGAAGGTTAATTTGCAGGTAAAATGGGACGAATTAGAATATTTGTAATTAGTTAATAGAAACAGATTTGTGCATAAGTGATACATTTGGCCCTCTACAAAGTGTCCCTGAACTTATAATGCTATATTCAAATAAAACTGTATATCTTCGGCCTGTTATTGAGCGTAGTGGTGAGTCT